TATCTGCAAAAGATTGCAAACTTGTTCCAAGTAATGATTGAAATGATTTTCAATTTGTAAACTTTCACTTCCATTTAGAAACACATTTTCTTCCCTATAAACAAACCGATCCATGATTTAAATCCATGAAAAGGTTACAATGGGAAAGGCAGAATTTGCCACTGTTGCAAATTCGTGGAAATTTTCACGAGTATATCTGGAATTAAAATTCAAGTAACGGATTAAATTTTTTTATAGGGCCTGATATTCTCAAAACAAAGGCCATCGCTTCCAAGTTCAGTTCAATATCTAATTTATCATTATAACTGAATTATTGCTGAATAAATTAATTAATAAAATGAAATAGATAAAGTTCGAATAAATAACTGAATGATTGCCAATAAATTATTAATAAAATGGATAAAGTCGGGTAATGACTGAACATTTATTATTGTTAACGATGAAAATCACGTTAAAATTACTATTACAGTGGAAAAGACGGACTTTTCCCGCTATTACTATTTGCAAATTTTTATGATAATGAATGTTTCTGCAATTAAAATTCAAATAGTGGATTATTTTTTATTTTATGGTCGGAAAATAAATAGTATAGAACTCTGAAATGTTGGCATTAGGCAAAGGTTTGTTTTTTGTTTTTTTTTTACGCGTAAATATTTTTGTTTAACTTTTTATAAACGGGTTTAATTGTTTAAGCGTAAATTTAGACTGGTTGACAAAAGTATATATTAAGCGTCAATTGGTGATCCGCCTATGAAACAGTAAATCCACAAGTACCAGAACGAAACATACATTGTGTTAGGAAAAAAACGGCAGTGACAAAAAATTGCATATCTCAACAATTACATAACATAAATTTAGATTCGTTTGAAAGTTTATCAAATTACCTTGTTAAATAAAAAAAAATAGACATGATATGCTATTGCCAATTTTCTGTAAAGCTAATTCATATCTTTTTTTTAAAACTTTGCAAAATTTTTGTCTCTGAAATTTTAACACATAAATTTTTAATAATAAGCCTGACACAAAAATATACATAATAATCATACAAAAAATTATACCGGTGTGTAATGAAAGTTCTGGAGATTATATATATAAACTTTCATACTTCCAGATTTTCTAGAATTTTGTCAATTGGAAATAAAAGGAATTTGATTATTTTGAAAAAAACAATTTAATGTGTAAATTTCTTTAATAATTGCTCTAAAGCCTACATAATAACATGCTTCAAAAATTTCATATGTTATAATCTAAGATCCTCCGATTCTCTGTTATAATTTTCATCATATAATTTTGGCTACTTTTTCATTAAAAACAATATTTTTACCAACCGCCGTTTTTTTCTTAACACCCTGTATTGTTCCATAAAATTGGAATACTAATATTGTGCCATTTTTTATTGACAAGAGTGCAAGAGTATAATGTTGTATAATCATCTTCATTGTATAGTTAAAAGCTCATGTGGTAAAGTTATTGTTAGCATTTTTTTTTTTTTTGTTGGGCATATTTCCCAACCAATTAAAATCAATGCTAATATAAAAATTTATATAATCGATATTTTTTTATTACTAATCTCTGATAATATGTTAATTGTTAATTCATCTAAAAAGCTCAAGTGGTAAGTCAAAAAATATTATTTGTTGCACAATAAAATCACTAATTCTGTAATTCGGGTAATATATCAAGTTTTATTGTGAGCCTTTTCCTAATTTTTCATTAGACTATTGTTACTGGTATTAGGATTTAACGCTGATTTGTTGGCCGAAATACCCTAATTCCAAATTAAATCCTTTTATTTCTATTTTTTACTTTATTTTTCTTTATATCTACGTTTATTTATTTCTTTATTTACTATTTACTTGTATTACGTTTTTATTATTATTTCGTATAGCGTCGAAATTAGTTAATTTTATTTAGAAATTAACATAGATTCGCGATTAAAATGTGATATCGCAACTAGAGTACTATATCGCGATTAAATTGCTGAATCGCAATTAGAGTGCTATATCGCTACTAATGAATTTAATTGTATGTAAGAAACTCAGATTCAACATACTTGTAAAATAACTTTGTAGTAAAAGTTTTAAATAACTATTCTTAAATCACTAATTATTTGCCAATAAAACTAATTCGTTAGTGATAGTAATGGCCAAATTCATTCTGATCCACACAATCATAAATTATATTGTTATTATCAATTAATACGCCCTCCCAAATAATAATTGGTGACATTATTCTAAATCTAACACTTTCCGATTTAATATATACAATTATTGAATACGCCCCACCAACTCCTGATCTACTTCATGTCAATAAAATATTGATAAATTTCATTATTGTTTGAAAGAGCTTCAATATCCAGATTTTAAGAAATTTACAATTCTGATAGACATGACTAATAAACAGATTAAATATTTTATTTTGTCATTAATACCATAATGGTATTAATGATAAAGTCTAAATTTTTAAGTACTGATAATAATATATAATTTATGTGAATATTATCTGGAGGGGAAATTACTGTAAAACTACCTTCATCATAAATAGCAAAGACAGATCAATGATCAAGATTCTCTACAAAATAAAAAAGTTAAAGAATATATGTTTCAAAATAAATGCATGATAGAAAATAAACAAATACATACTTATAGCAACAACAAAATCTCTGCTAACTCAAATACAGTTTTTTATTATCTGTATATTGTGTTGGGATATCTACTGATGATAAAAGAAAAGGATAACTCATATCTTCATGAAAATGAAATTTATCTGAACTAGCAATTCACATACCATAAAGTCCAGAAAGATAGATAATGCTCCTTTTTTACAAATTGTAACAGTTTTTTTTCAAATTGTTTTAAAGTGGTGAAAATGGATGCCTGCACAGGTCACCATAATTAAATGAATTGAACCTGTATAATTTATAATTTGGCAAAGGCTATGAACTTTCTGATAAAGATGAAGGTGTTGAACTAAAAATTTAAATTGTGGTTTACTACATTAATAATAAATCACCAGTCAGTGCAGTTTACTAGCCAATCTGTCAGTTTCTCTTGAATATTAACATATAATTGCTAATCAAATATTTGATAATCTTTTGTTTTATAACATCACTTTGTTTTTTTAATCTCATGCTCCCAAATTTATATTTAATAAAAGTTCAGATTTATTAATCAGAACACACTCCCAAATCTGCATTTCACACTAAACTATATCACAAAATAATGATTATTGTTAATAATTATATGGTTGGCTCGGTCTAAAGACTCCTATTGCTGCGCCACACACTCTAATTTTCCAAATTGCAATAATAAAAAAGGGTTACACATGATTTTGGTTAAAAAATTATTTTCCCTCCTGTCGAATTTAGTATGGATGAACGAAAACTAGTCTAAATTTAGCGATGATATCAGCGCTCAAATTCCTCATGAGCATAGTAATAGTAAAGTATATTAATATGTTTTTTTAAAAAAAATAGAGCTCTACAACCAAATAATGTTTTTGAGAAATCTCTATTATATACATTAAAATTAAAGACCTATTCCATCAACTAATAGAGCTATTTTTTAAAAGGTAGGACAGAAAATGACTTCTATACTTTTAAAATTTAGGAGGTCTTTAGACCGAGCCAACTATAGAAATCAAGGTTTGCAAATTCTTCCACCCTGCATATTATAGCGTCATCGCCAATCCTTCCATATTCTCTATCGATTTTTCATAATTTTACGAGAAAATTATCCAAGATTCACAAAAAATGATTAATGCATCGTAATACATTCAATCCTTTGTTTTTATAAAATAGTAGTGATCATCAAATTTTTAAAAATATAAAATAACCTTAATTTTTGACTTTTCATTAAAAAAAAATTATATATATATATATATATATATATACAAGAAATAAGAAGTTTCAATAAATAAAAACTAAAAATAAAAATAATGGAGATTTTAAAACAGTTTCAAAATAAAAGTTACGGAACATTTAATAATCATGATCCAGATAAACATTTTCATACAAGTCTTGAATCTGATGATAAAAATGTCATAGAAACATTTAAACAATCTTTTCAAATATTTCCAACTACCATAATAATTAAAAATGCTGGTAGCATGGCAAGAGACCAACTTTGTAAGTAAATTGTTATTAGCTAATATAAGATATTTTTGTTATTTTCCACCACTAATATTTTTAATTTTTTTTTTAAAATTTTATAAAGCAATTCAAAGAACATTTTTAAATTTTTTAAAAACTGGGTTATCTTTATTTTTAGTAGGAGCTTCATTTTTAATTCATTTTCATATAGACGGTGGCGATAGCAGTGAAAATCAAGATTCTGATGACAACTTATTTAATATATCAATTAGTTTTTTTTCATCGAGTATGCAACATAATACAATTGGGTTGGGATTTATATTTTTAGCATTTTACGTGATAACTTGGGCAACTATTAATTATTTAAAATTTCAGAAAATGTTAATTAATTCGGTTACGATTATTCAACATGACGAATTCAATATTTTAGCTGTGATAGCTATGGGTTTATTGATAATTACAGCTTTACTGTTTTTACAGTTTATATGATATTTATGATATTTATTTATTAGGTGCAGAAATAAATTTTTTTTTTATTTATTAAACCCCTTAATTAACCTTAATTTCTCACAAATTTCGAAGTTTACCTTTATTCTAAATTTAGCAATTTACTAATATCCGATTAGTCAACATTTCTGCACCAAATGTTGGCAAATTACGTAATCATTTGCATGCCCGGTCAAAAATTTTTATTATTCCGAGGTCATTTGCTAAAAAAACAATTAAATGATATCTATATATGTACATATTGCAAATATTACTATTACGGAGTCAACTATAATTCAACCCGGCTCAGCCACAATCAACAACCCATATAAGGAAGTTGCTAAAAAGTTCACATATAAAGTTTTTTCCGTTTCAAATATCCATTTGATTTAAATTTGAAAATTCTATATGGTAGAAGGAAATTATGTCTTTGGCCTCAAATTCTCGGTCTTATGGTCAAAATGAAACACTCATTTCATCTATTCGTAATATTTTAAAAGTACGTCATGCATTTAAAATGATATTATTTTATACTTGGAATTAAATTATTTTAATATTTTTTGTTAGGATTATTCTCATGAAAGCATATTTAAAGAATTTCTTCAAAATGGTCAGAATTTATTTTATACCACTATTACCTTTGCTTTTATTTGTTTTTATAATGCTCATCTTCGATAAACAATAGCTGATGATGCTGGGGCTACACGTTTTCATGTAATCATTGATAGTCGCTCACACCCTACCAACTCTTTACTTAGTGATGAAATGAAGGCTTGGCAAGGGCCTGCTATTTTGTTTTTCAATAATGCACAATTCAAAGAACAAGATTTTGATTCTCTCATGCAAATACGTGTTGGTGGAAAATCCGATGATGATACAAAAATTGGAAAACACGGATTGGGATTCAATTCATGCTACCACTTCACTGATGCCCCCAGTTTCATCAGTGGAGATTCTATTGCGTTCTTGGATCCTCAGGAAAAATTCCTGCCAAAGAAAAATGGCCATCTTCAACGTGGCATAATTGGCCCTTTTCCCAAAAATGGCATTCGTGGGTTTTCTGAAAGAGATCAACTATCTCCTTTTGAAAACATCGAAGGTATTGATTTTCAATCAACTTTCGAAGGAGTACTCTTCCGAATACCACTTAGGCAACAACCAAGTGAAATATCTGATAGAATTTTTTCTATTGACGATGTCCTTGGATTGTTCAAGAGCATTAAATTAAATATAACTTCCTATTTTTTGTTTCTTCGAAATATCGAAGAAATTGAAGTGTCACATATACCAGAAGCTACATTTCCATTCAGAATTCAAATAACTTCTCTCTGGAAAGCAACTGTAATTGGATTAGATGAAAATGCACGAAATAAAAGAAACAATATTGTTAATGGTAAAATTCAAATTTTTCAGATGGAAATTGAATTAATTGATGATTCAAACAACAAGCAAAATGACCATTGGATTATTGCAACTGGTGCTCAAAAAGACCCCGAAGATCCTCAATTGAAAAAATATGCAAAGCAATATCGATTACGTGTATTAGGAGGTGCTGCTATTTTACTTAAAAGCCTAAAAAATAACCTGGAAGAAAATAAAAATCAGAATGACTTTAAAGGAAGAATGTTTTCTTTTTTTCCATTGCCCGATACTACATGTTTGCCTGTTCACCTTAATGGAACCTGGGCTCAAAGTTCAGATCGTGCAAGCCTATTACTCGAAAAAGATAATCTGCAAGATTTAGATCATCAGAAACTTAATTGGAATAGACATATTCTGCTTGAGTTCCTTCCAGAAGTTTATTGCCGGCTCTTGGAAGAAATTCTTAAATTACAGAATAATAAAAAAATTGATCCTAATAGATGCAATTCAAAGCTTTGGCCCTTTCCATCTGCCACAGAAAATGTTCCAAACTACATAATTAACTATGGTTGTAAAGTACTCCAACGTATATTACAATGCGAAAACATTTTCCAATTAATAACTTCTGACTATTATATTTCACATAACACCAATGTCGTTTTTACTAATGAAAATACCAATGTGGACAAACTTTTCAAATGCTTGTCACCTAGTCGCATTGAAACTTTCCATCAATTACTACGAAATAAATGGTCAGGAATAGGTTACTATTTCTTAAGTTTTTTGAAAAAAAAAAAAAAGTTTTTTTTGTAATTAAATTAGAGATAATATATATATATTTTTAAAAGTAGATGTGAAGAATGATCATAACCTCAAATCAATAATCCGCTCACTGCCTATTTGGCCAACACGACAGAACCCCTCGATGCCAAAACTCAAACCAAGCTTTGTGCCAGTTTCAAAAGGGTACCTTCTGCCAAAGAACTTTACCATGTATCGAGCAAAAAGCACCAATTATTTTTTAAAAGTTTCTGATTATCTGGATGGTGTGATTTTGCGCGAACTCGATGCTCCCGTAAGAGACATTCGCTCATACGCATCTGAAGACGTTGAATATCCTGAAGAATCTGATCAATGCTATGTGGATTATATAGATAGTATACTCTCATGTGGAATTAACATTACTCAAGATTTAAAGGAAAGGAATTGTTTTCCCAATGCGTTTACAAATGACTTGAAGCAAATTGCTGACCTGTATGATTATAATAATATTGTTTTTCGAACTGTATTTGGAGGAGACTCAAACAATTTCCTTCATTTAAATCTCTTAAAACATTCAACAAGATTAGCAAAGATTGGGTTTAATAACAAAATCGATCAGAAATCATTCATTAAATGTGCTGTGAAAGTTGAAGAATTGCAGGAACTGGGTAACCCACCATCTGATATACGCTATCGTGGATTTATTTTGGTTGATCATTTTTATAAAAATATCAACAGTTTTGAATATAATGGAATTGATAGGATTCCATTTGTTCCAATTGTTAAATGTTTGGATAAACATTACAGTAAATACTATAATCATACTCAAATTTTAGATTGCTTTAAAAATGTAATACTTCCTGAATATAAAGAAGTTGCATGGAGCCAAAAGCCATTAATTCCAGAAGATGTCATACCACCTAAGCATGTGCTTGAAAAACATCCATCACTTGGTAAGCCAAATGTTCCTACTGTAATCAAACACCTCCGCTTTTTGCGTAAAAAACTTATAGAAGATAGCGAATGGATGAATTGGAAAGAAACATTCGTTTTTAATGTTTTTAAAGTCTATGAATGGCTTGATGGAAAATGCTTAAATGAAGGTCTCAGTCTAAAGGAATACATCAATTCAAACGAATTACTATTCCTTAATTTTAATAAAAATCAAGATCCATTTGACACTGAAAACTGGGTATCTGCAAAAAATTTGGTTTTGAATGCTGAACCAAATGAGGAAAAATATGTAAACCCTCGTCTTGCTAAATATCATACAATGCTAAAAAATGCTGGTGTCCAAGAAATAAGACCACCAAGTTTCACAATAAAGGTTAGAGAATATGATCAGGCAAATATAAACAAAAGTTCCACTCTAGGATTTTTATTAAGTGACATGAACTTTTTGCATGATGTTATTTTTATTGTAAATGGTGAAGAAATACGAGCAAGTCGATATGTACTTGCTGCAAGCTCTAAGATTTTCCGTCAGAGATTCAATTCGGAAGAGCATGCAAACTCAAGCGCAGCTAATCCGTCTAGGATCACTATTGGAAATGTTAGCTCCAACTCGATGAAGATTTTGTTGCGTTACTTATACGGTCAGAATATCAATGACGCAATTTGGGGTAATCAAAGTTCAAATCAATATCAAATATCAAATTTGGAAAATTTGGAATTATATAGGGACCTACTTGAATTAGCAAATAATTATGAACTAGATCATTTAAAAGATTTTATGGAATTAAAGCTCTCTCAATTGGTTAACAGAACAAACATGGAAGAGATAGAAAGTTTAGCAACAGATTTAAATGCAAAACAACTCGAACAGTATTGTCGTTGTTTTATTCGTGATAATGAAAATTTATAATTATTTTCTTAATATCATCCATACGATAATTGTTACATCTGAAAATCTTCATTTAAAAAACTTTTTTGTTTGTGATGAATTAAACATGATGGCTCAAGTTTTGTATCGATAGTTTACAAGTAAATTAAAACTTGATGCTTTCATATATCATTATAGTCTATATCAGAAAATATAGAGAATAAAGCAGTAGTAATCAACCGCCTCTCCACTTACTTGGATCTAATATATTTAAATAACAACAATAAATAAAACCATTAAATAAACGAATGGATAGCAGACTGTTTTTTGTTTTTAAAAATACATGTATAAAAATAATTTTTAACTTCCCCTAATTACTCCGAGAAACTAAATTAGCTTCAAAATCACTTGTAGATACTTAATTTTATGATATATTTTACGACTCTATAATAAGAAACAAAATATTTAATAAATATACAGTATAACCTTGTTACAATGAAGTGGTTGGACATAAGAAAATTCATTCAAAATTCGTCGAAACAAGATTACTTACTAATCACGTTTTTATGTTTAATTATAATTCGTTGAAACAAGATTCGTTGGATAAGATACGTAGAATCAGGCCTTGCCACAGCGGGATGAATAGAACAGACACATAATAATAATAAGAAAATTTAATTACGAATATAGTTTGTGTAGTTATTTTACTTCCAATAACGTTTGTTTTGAAGATGAATACATATCTCATATTTAAACCCGTTCTTTTAATCGTTTATTTCAAACGACTTGAATTAATTGTCCCATTGCAAGTCTATTTTCATCACGAAAAAAATCTTCGGCATCTTTCCCTCACTCTGAATTAATGATAATAGCAATAGAATAATGATTCCTTTCGTTTATAAATATTAATAATAGGAATCCTCCATGCATACTTCTGAATAATGTTTGTTTTCAACTATTTGATCATGATATAATTTTTCAGATTATTGTTCGACTTTTTAATGGCTTTTTCAATAAGAAATTTGCATTGGGAGATTCCTATAATATCCTCAAGTTATTCCAATAATCCATCTTCATAATCATTTGAAGCCTTTTGGTTTCTGTTGTGCGTGAAATTCAAATTAGCCGGCCAGAATTTTGTATTCAAACACCCATCCCAAAATTTAATTAATTTCAAATTTGACGCAAGTTTGATTTTCACGCACAACAGTTTCATGAATGAATGATTTAATTGTTTAGAAGAGCCAAATCAATACACAGTCTTTTAAAAGTGTCATGACTTCTAAATATTTACTGTTAATTACAAAGAAAGAACTTTGTAATTGACACACATGTATATCAATAATAATCAAAAAAATAATTTTTTAAAATTGAAATACCAAATCATAAATTTCTTTGAAAATATATTTCAACAGCACATAATTCAAATTTGTATGAGATGAATTGATAAGTTGAGGAATTTTTACCTGATGCATTTTTACTCGAACGATAATCAAATACGAATATAAAAGGCGTGTGGATTTTCCAGAACCATTAGGTCCTATGTTAGCAGAAAATAAAATATCAATAAATAAGTAATATTTTTTTTTTTATGTGTGGTGAGAGAATATGCATTTTTAAAGACATCGAAGAGAGGAAAAACAGTCAGTGTCTATTTTAGTATAACAAAAAGCTTTCAATGTGCGAATTTCTGTTATAATAAAAGTTTCAAAATGTAAAGTTTTCAAGATGTAAGTTTCCAATGAATGTATCTTGTGAAGGGTAAATTTCTTGACGACCAATGTAAGGTTTGGAAGACCATACGTGATTTACATTCTCCCTTGATTTGTTCTAACACGTAATATATGATTTGTTTTCTCTTGTGTTGTAATAGACGAAATAATAGTTTAAAAGTTTTGACGCGCCAAAATTTTTAATTATAACTAATGACCCCCCGGTAAGTTCTGAAACACAACAAATAAATAACAATGGAAAAATTAATAATCCTCTAACCAAGTATATGGGGAAATCTCTTTCCCCAATCCAAATTAACTTTCAATGAAAATTATATAATAACTTTATACTTGTGGCATTGTTTGTTTGCAAATATATTAAATGACAATTAATAAAATTATCAATAAAAAATAAAATGATGCTGTTGTTATTGGACGAATTGAATAAATTGTTGTTGTCATTGATCAAGACCATTTATCTATTACTACTGTTCTTGCTGTCGCTCATTGTATTGTTGGATATATTTTTGTGATTTTTTCAAAAATTTTTGATATGCTTGGTTCAATTTGTTTAATTGTTCATGTTGTATTAGTGGCAGTTGTCGTTGTTGTTGTTGGACGAATCGAAGAAATCGTGAAAGAAGAATTAGTGTTACTATTGTTGGACGAATTGAAATTATTGTTACTATTGATCGTAACCATTTATCCATTACCGTTTTTGCTGTTGTTGAGAGAATTGGATCGAAATAAAACTTGTAACATAGCCACGATCCAAATAATTTTTTTGGCCTTTTTGTTCATTGTTAAATGCCATAAATAATACCCTTTTGGAAGTGGATAAGCTTTTCAGTCAAATTTTCTTACACTTCATAAGTTACCTGAACTCAATATATGGTTATCAATGTCAATTTTGGTTCTAGATTTTGACAACGAATATTTTATTGCCGAAGCAGCTAAATTAAAGAAACATTTTGTAAATTTCGAAACACGTAAAAAGCATTTGCTTTCATATTGATTTTCATTTAATTATTAATAAGAGTTTCTAACAACTGGATTACGTCTACTAAGCTATTCAAAAGGTGGAAACGTTAAAAGATTGTCGAAAGTAGATTATTGATAATAATATTTTACGCACCTTCCTGTAACAAGTTCAATTCTTGATTGGTTGGTGACTGAATCTTGAATCCTTTTTTTTTTTAATTCTTTGTTTTTCTGAATAATTATTTTTGTCAGTTCATTGAATTATAATTGTTCTTTTACTTTTTCTAGTTTGTCTTGTTCTTGGCTGTAAGCTTTTAGTTGTACACAGTGAGTTTCGGTATAACGAATATTTAACTAGTACAAATTTAGAAACTATCTGCAAAAAAATGAATTTAATTGGATATTTTGTAGATAGTCTCTAAATTTGTACTAGTTAAATATCCATTATACCGAGACTCACGTGTACTTCTGAAAAACTAGTACTAGCAATATATAGAATGATCTTCTGATTGGTAAAATGATTCAGCAAAATACTTGGCAAATAAGTTTTTACACACTTGTTTCCTTTATTTCCTGATACTTGTTTCCAATATTTCTTGTTACTGTTATCGCCGTCATATGGTCTCGATTGGTATTTTTAAATAATTTGAACTTTTGTACTTTGAGGAAATTTTTACAGTCTATGAGGACAACTTTTTGTTGTCGTTACACGATTCATAAATACAATAAAACAGATCAATCTTTCAATCTTGTGCTTCTAATTTATTGTTTTATTATTTTTAACATTAACTCTAAAAAAAAACAAGCAACATTATGGTTAGTAAATTAATAAAATAATATTAAAAAGTTTATTGCTATTTTTATACTCTTTAATTTATTTTGTTTAATGTAATGGGAAAATAAAAAAGGCAGCACAAAATTCTCAAGGTATCCAAAAATTATTGGAAGCTGAAAAAGAAGCTTCAATGATTGTTGAGAAAGCACGTCAATGTAAGAAAGAGTAATTATTCAATAACACAACTTATTATTATCATGTATAATATAACTTTTCTGATTATACTTTTTCTTTGGGGAAAGATCGTGTTGATCGTTTAAAAGCTGCTAGAACTGAAGCAGCAAAAGAGATTGAAGCCTTGAAAGAACAAAAAAATCTAGAATTTAAAGCATTTGAAGCAGAGGTAGAGAAAACAATAAATTGGATGATGAATGAACTATTTATTTAATAATTAACTAATAAATAAATTATTTAAATTATTTATTCATTTATTTATTTATTTTAGCATTTAGGTTCATCAGATCAAATATTTGCAAAGTTAGACGCAGAGACAGAAATTAAATTAGAATCAATCCAAATGGCATTTAAAGATAATAAGGATTCTGTTATAGATAAATTATTATCTACCATTACAACTGTTCAACCAAAAGTTCATATGAATTTCAAAATTAATGAAGATTAAAAAATAAAATTATTTATTTATTTAAATTGTAGATTTTATATAAAGAAATTCAAGAAATGTAATAATAATTTATTGTTTTCTTCAGCTCAAAAAAAAAAATATATAATAATTACATAAAAAAAAATAAATAAAATTTTTTAGTTTTTAATGCATACAAATAAATAAATAACATAAATTACATATAAATGAATAAAAAAATTTTTACAAAAAGATTTTAAATAAAAAATTGTCCTCGTATTTTCTTTTCAAAAAACATCATCATCATCATCATCATCATCATCATCATCATCATCATCATCATCATCATCATCATCATCATCATCACCACCACCACCACCACCACCACCACCATCATCATCATCATCATTTGTAGTTGGTGTAGAAGTGCAAGTGTTTTGGAGTTGTGTATTTAATTCATTAATATGATTATACAAATCATCATCAATATTTATACTGTTTTCGTGTTGTTCTCTATTATGATTATTTATATCAAAAGGTTTTGGCAATGGAATTATGTTATTAACAGTATCAGTAATATCTACATCATCCAAATTATTTACAACTTCTTGTATATCAGGACGAATATCCGGATTATTATCCCAACAAGCTTAAAAAATAAAAAAATAAATCAATATAAATATAATAATATTTAAATACTGAATTATTCAAAAATTATTTACTTGTATAAATTTCTACATATTTTCTTGGAGATCCTTCGATGATTTTTTCTCTTTTACCATTTACTATAGAAAATACAAAACTAAACCCTGCAGATGTTTCAGATTCAAATGGTACTTTTCCACTGGAAATTTCCCAGAATAATATACCAATACTGTATATATCAGATTTTTTATTACGAGTATATCCATTAGGGTTTTTTAAATATTGTGGG